GGACCATATATAGCAAGAGGTATGAGGAGATAAGCCGAAAAAATTGAAATGTGAAAAGAAACCATGCCAAGTGATGCTTTTGCAGGCTCCTCGGTAACAACTTGAGGATCAGAAACAGGAAGCATTTCGTCAAGAACTTTCGCAAGTTGAGACAAGTTCTGCTCAGAACCACCAGGAAGAGAAGCGAAGCGAGCGAGGGGCTGGCGGAGCAACTGAAACAGCGATGAAGGAGCTGACGAAGTATGTGGTAAATCCTGCATGGCAGAAATTTTTGTGAGCTTGAGAGGATCCAGGGAATCATCATCACCACGACGGTGGTGCTGGGGGTTTTGGTGAGCCATGAATATAATGATGCTCGTTGACTGAACAAGAAAGGTGGAGTATGAAGCAGATGCTTGAGTCTTTTGTACGGAGCAATGGATTGATTGGTAGTTAAGTGAGTCTGCAAGTAACCGAGTATATACTATGAAATTAGCTTGGAAAGAACGCGATCCCCCAGGACACATCAATGGAAGTGGGGTTGAACGCCAGATCCAGGAAGATGTTTTCCTCTTGACGGGGATCTAGAAAAATCTTTCTGCACCCTAATCTTTGCATCTAAAACTTTTATTTAATTATTTTAAAATAAAAAAAATCTTTTAGGAAAAAATAATAATTAAGAGATTATCTTTATTTTAAATTTTATGTTTATTAAAATACTTGTTTCAGAAATTTAATCAAAAATAAGAAAAAATAAAATACTTTTCTAAACATAAGCTATCATCCATGAATATTAATGAAGCTGCAAAACAGGTTTGAAAATTCACTTTTTTGGTACAAGAAGAATTACTTTTTGAAAAAATGAACAAAAAAAAATACTTTTATAAACACGAGTTATTATAAGCAAATGTATGTCATTGAAGTTAAAAAAGACCTAACTGGATATTTTATTTAGTTTGACTCTCTTTATCAAAGTCTGCTTATAATTTTCACATGTCCTTTTTTTTTTTGGTTAAATAATGTTCACATGTCAACATAAAATAAACTATAAAAAAGAAGGGAGTTTTAGAAGGACGAGAAGGAATTTAAAGGTTAGGTTGTAAAATGCAAAGTATGTATCCGCCGTATTTTAAAATTTAAATTTTTATATAATTATTTTAGAATTCTGGAAAAGCAGAACTATTATTTAAATGAGAGATTAAATAAAATTACAAATAAAAAGTGAGGGAGGGAGGGAGAGCGTTTGAGTATGTGAAAATAAGACAGAAAGATAAAGTGAATGGACGAAGTTTTATTGGAAAGAGGGAGAGAATTAAATCAAAAAGAAAAAAGGGGGCAGCTGAGGTTCAGAAGACACAGCACGCGTGCGAAAACAGAGGTGATGTGTCAAAACCGACAATAAGTGTGGGTCCATTTGGAGGATTTTTATGTCTTTTTCCTTTTGGTGACAAAAGGATTTTCGAAAATTTGAAACACAGTTCCATCCAAGAAAATTAAATATAAAGTAGTCTCTTAAAATTATCAAATTATTCTGAAATTTCAAAATATTTATTACAAAAGAATTTATTTGTTTAATTATCAAATTACTCTTTCTTTTTAAAGTTTATATTGATAACTGAAAGACCAGTCATTGATATCTTAAGATGTAATAATTGACAACTATCACAGTAGGTGTTGACAACTCATACATGTATTTTGTGATGTGCTTTGTGATGTGTTGGGAAAATATAAGTTCTCAATCCCTGCCGCAATAGTTGTCAATCCTTACAATTTAAGTTATCATTAATTGTTCTTTCAGTTATCAATGTAAATTTTAAAAAATAGGGAAAACCATTTTGCAGGTACCTAAACTTTACTTCAATTTTTAATTTGGTACCTATACTTTTTTTGTTTTTTTTAGAAATCCTTTAACTATCTTCCGTTATCTCCGTTTCCCCCATAATTTACAAAACACACTCAAGGGCTAACAGATAGATAAACGACGTTAAAGGAGAAAAGAAGGAGGGAAAAATTAGAAGACGCAACCGCAGATGCACAAATGAAGAAGGAGTAGTGTCTCCTCTGTCTTACGCATGATTTAGGTCAATAAAATCTCTGAACAGCATGTGCTATATGATTTATACATTATACTCAACAATTTGTGATGCCAAATATAATTTTCAGAGTTCCAGTGTCTCGCAAATTGTTATCTAATCAGAAATTATTATACTGTTTTTCAATATCCAGAATTTGCTTTCAGATAAGAAAAAATAAAGTTGCATTGAGCAATGAAACTTGCAACAGCCAGAACTAACTTGGAGTAGCATTTTAAAGAGTTCATATACTTTGAATAACATGATTCTTAAAATAAAGGTTAGCAGCTTTGTAAGCATTTTAATCCCCTGTTCATATATAAATATATATACATACAGCTAGAATTATAGTTTCAAGCTGACAAACTAAAGCTTAAAAGACAAAATCTTCAAACAAAATCAACTGACCATGAAATCAAATCGCATCGAAGACAAATTATAAATGGCTCCCTATCCAATCAAAATCACTTTCTCGCCAAAGGGAAAAGCAAATTGCACGATCAATGGGCCTAGTAGAAGGTGAAATAAGAGAACCCATCCTCCCTCTACAGCACAGATCAAATCTGTCGAAGAATATCCTTTTGAAGGTTATGATTCTGTTAAAGCCCTACACTCCAAATCGCTTTGCAAATCGAACCCCCCCTCGTTGAACACCTCTCTGTCGCTGAAGTTTAGTTTCGATGAAGAAGTTGGATTTTAACCTCCCTCTACTGCGGAGATCAAATTCATTAAAGAAAATCTATTTGTACAAGGTTTTGATTCCGTCAATGCCTCTCCAAATCACATTGCAAATCGAACCCCTCCATTCACGGAAGACCTCCTCCGTCGCCGAAGTTCAGTACATTTTGATGAAGAAATTTGATTTGAACAGCGTTAATTCCTCCATTGGCCCTTGATTGTGTTTTGTAAAGTATAGGGGTTAATGGAGATAACAGAAGATAATTAAAGGATTTTTAAAAAGGTTAAAAAAATATAGATACCAAATTAAAAATTGAAGGAAAGTTTAGGTACCTACAAAATGGTTTTCCCTAAAAAATATATAATAATTAAACAAATAAAATTTATTATAATGATGTTTCTTGAGATTTTAAAATAATTTAATAATTTTAAGAGATTTTTTAATATTTAATTTCGTTAAGCAGGATATTATTACAATTTTCTCAAGGATTTTTATGTCTTTGTGCACGTAAGAATTTCTCCCGATTTCGTTCCTCACTTCCCCTCCATTTCCATGTCCTTTCCATTTCCAAGTTATTGGTCACCGACTTACCGTTGCGGGTTCCGCTTTCTGGCCTTTTTCGAGGACAGTGCGCTCCAACACTAATCCAATTGCATCACCCTAGTCAGTGGCCAGTCACCGAAAACGAAATGACTTTCCCCACCACAGCCACGCCAATAAAATTCCATTTGCGTCCCCAAGTGATGTCTAAAATTATGATGTCTGAGAAACAAAGAATTCTTTAATTTTTTTTTTTAAATACCACAAGATTATCCAATTTTAATAAATTTCATCTAACATTATAAATGTAATCAACATTTATAAAAATTGTGAATGGCCTTAAAAAATGGCTTTGTTACTTGCTAGAAAAAATTATTAATACTTAGTAAAGTGTAATCAGTACTTGTAAAAAAATTGTAAATCGATCACCATTAATCAAAACTAAGTATTTACCTTACATACATATATATATATATATATTGCATTATATTACCAGTAAAGCATTGAAAGCCCAATAACCACCTTTAATTTTAGCACACACCATGTGATGATGGGTCAAATTTTACCTTCATCATTTTTTCGAAAAATATGAAAACGTAAAAACATCAAAACTTAGAAAATTAATTCGCGAAAACAATGTCCAGAACTAGAAGTATATTCTTATGAAACATGCTTTGTGTGTATGAAGGTCCAATTGCATAAGGAAGTGCAACTAAGTTCCCTTACTTGCCATCTATCTTCCATTCTATTCAAAATATATTATGCAACTTCATTATCAGTATTGTGATCATTTCATGAGCATATTTATTTCTCTTGAAAACCTCAATCCTTCACAAACCTTTTAGGGACCATTATCCAATAAATTTCTCAAAATGAGAATTTATCTCAAATTTTTACATTCCTTTTTCTTTTTATTATTTGCTATGATACACATTCATTTTTCTTTGTTTTTCTCAATACAAATACAATCATTTGATAAAGTGTATTAATTTCGTTAAGAAAGTATCTTATAGTTTTTTTTTTCCTCAACACATGGAGGACATCATCATCGTCAAATTAAACCATAATCTGCTACACTTTTTAAGAATTTAACAAATAAGAAGAAATAAAACGATTAACTTGTTCATTAAATAACAAATTAATAAATTAATAAAATTTTAACTAGAACAAATTTGAGCTAGAAAATTAAAATAATAATAAAATATGACTATTAATTATAAAGTAGCGTAAATATTAGTATAAACCAATAAAAATGGAGAAATAATTTAAAAGTAATTCAAAGTAAAATTAAAATGAATTTGATTTCTTAATTTGGAATAATTAATATTAATAATAAATAATAAAGCAAAAGAGATATGATGACTATAAGGACCTGGTAAGAAAAAAAAAGAAACTATAAGGACCTAATTAAAAATCAAGTGCAGTTATAAGAAAATAAAAAGGAAAAAAAACTATATAAACCTAGTTAAAAATCAGGTGAAATTATAAAAAATTACAAATTTTGAATTTTTCCTTATAGGTAAAAGCAAAAGTTGTTTCCTTTTTTTAAAATATTATCATGATAAATTTATAGAGAAGACGAGAAAAATAATAAACACCTTAACCATATCTTTATGAATTTATTAGTCCTCCGAGGCCATTCATTTCTTTCAGTGCTCCTATAAGTCATTTTTGGGGGGAAAAAATAAAAAGAAAGAAAGAAAGATGAAAGAATGATGCAGCATAAGAGATTAAGAGAACAATATAATGGAAATATGACTTTGTCCATATGTACATCAATTTGCATTATTTATATTACAGGAAAATCAAGTGTTCTCCACGAAAACCATACTAAGACAAGGGCAACAACAATAGCCACTCATAACACGCGAAGTGACTCGTGCGAGTTCAACCAGGTTCCTCTCGCCCAATCAAATTTGCAGCGGCAAACATCAGCACAAAAACAAGGAAGGCTGAGATAGTGAACCACCAACTGATGCTTGAAGGCAAAAGCATGCCCATCATTCCCAAGAATCCAAACGTGCCGATCAGAAACGCGGCTTTTTGCATCTTCTTCGCCATCGGAGGCCTTTTCTTATGCAGCACAAGAGCAGTTGAAGAAATGAAGAACGCCAGTGTAGAACAAGCCACCGCAACATAAATCAGAACCTGGTTATCTTTTGCTTTTGATGAAACAGCAAGACTGATTATAGCATTTAGAAGTTCAACAGGAAAAACTATGAACCCCAGTTTGTTGTGCTCGTGCGGTGATGATGTAGGAGGAAGGGTCACAGGGATATTAATGTAAGTATCATTAGGCCTCGAACGATTGATTTGCTGGACTGAGATTTCGGGAGAAAAAACAGCTTTTGGAGTAGAAAAAACGTCGCTAAAACTGTCTGCGATAGATCTTGCTGAGGACGAGCTAAGGGAGTGAGCAGAATTGATTACGGCAGCATCAAGATCTCGAGCTTGCTCTTCATCCTTCAACTTGGATCCTGTACATGCAAATGCTTCCAAGAATAAAGAACTAATTACAGGTACAGAACAGCGGTGAGGATATAATACTAAACTGATAAAATAAAGGATCAGTTCTGATGAGACTTGAGAGTTGTCATCGCCGTTGGAGGCTTTTATCTAACTCTTTCTCCTTTTTCAGGCCTTTCAGTCGAAGTCCTTGCTTTATCTGAGAACAGCTGTGTCTTGCACTGATGCTATCGAGATCCTTTGAAGTGAAAATTGAGCGAGAGAGAAAGGGGAAAATAGAGAGGAATTGAACCCTGACTATGGCATGGCACGCCTCTCGTTTTCTCTTATCACTTTGAAATAAATACGCTTCAAAGAATCCCAGCAACCTGTAGCATTAACAAGTATCAGTACCTTAAATAATAATAGCAGTGGAAGTAGTAGTTTGTAGATATATGCTTACCTAAAGACCAAAGGCTAGGCTTTATGCCTTTGCTCTCAGAACTGATATGAGAAACCGATGTGCATCGGTCCTCATGCTTCTCTGAGGTGAGTTTCCGTGGATCCAATATCACCCCTTTGAGCATATTATGCTTGAAAAATCATGCATAATATACACAAATTCGGGCAAGTTGGTCATGTTTAAATCAACCCTACCAAGTGATGCTTTTGCAGGCTCCTTGGTAACATGAGGATCAGAAACACGAAGCATTTCATTAAGATCCTTGGCAAGTCGAGACAAGTTCTGGTCAGAACCACCAGGACGACAAGCGAAGGGAGCAGGGGGCTGGCGGAGCAACTGAAACGGCGATGAAGGAGCTGACGCGATGACAGAAAATTTTCCCGGTTCCTCAATCAGTTTCCGTTTCTGAGAGGCTGAATCCTTGCGATGAAACTCGATCATTTTGTTGTTGTCGCTTGATGGTTGGAAGATGCTCTCTTTGAACTTTTGAGGATCCTGGGAATCATCGTCATCACGAAGATGATGCTGGGGCTTTTGGTGAGCCATGAATATAATGATGCTCGTTGACTGAACAAGAAAGGTGGAATTGTAAGGAGTATGAAGCAGATGCTTGGGTTTTTTGCGCACTGAGCTATGGATTGATTGGCAGCTAAGGGAGTGCCGCAGTTTTATACTAGATGAATAAAGCCACAACGGCTTGGAAAGAACGCAACCCCGCATCAATGGAAGAGGGGTCGAACGCCAGATCCAGGAAGATCTCTTTCTCTTCACGGGGATCTAGAAAAATCTAGTGTTCTCTGGTTTCTGAAACTAGTTTGAGGGTAAGCACCTAGGCTATACTCATTATATCTGTAATATTCAAATTTAATTTGGACAGCATTCCATAAATTTAAATTTTTAATTATTTATTTTTAATTAAAAAGTTATCTTTGAAAAAAATTAAGAAATTATCTTTATTTTAAATTTTATGCTTATTAAAATAATTATTTTTAATGTAAAACATCTAAATAAAATTTGAATGAAGATCACCCAAACTGATTTTTTTGATTTTCACACCTCAAAAATTCTAGGTTTTTGCGCGAGAAAGGTCTCTCCACTTCCATTGCTCGCCTTTCCTTCCACTTTCTTTTTCTTTATCCAAAGTATTGGTCGGCGTTATTGTCTTGCTTGTTGGCCTCCTCTGCTTCCAAGGATAGTGCGCTCCAACTCTGATCCAATTACGCGACCCTCACAAATCACTAAAAAATGAAAATCACTTCACCTACCCAGCCGCCCAATAAAATTCCATTTGTGTCCCCATGTGAAATTCCATTTGCCTTATTTAATATTTTAAAATCTTAAACATATACATTTTTTGGGGTGACTTAATCATATACATTTTTAAACCTACAATTTTTTCACATTAATTATGAAAAAATATCATAAAAAAAGTATATAATAAAATGAATTAATTTTCCAAACTAAACTTATGGTCTCTTAAGAAATAAGGACTTGTTTAATTTTTGTTTAATACCATAAGTTCTCCAATTTTAATAAATTTTATCTAACATTATAAATGTAGTCAATATTTATACAAAGGTTGTGAATAGCCTTAGAAAGTGGATTTGTTACTTGCTAGATAAAAGTTATTAATAGTAGTCAACGTTTATAAAAAATTGTAAATGACTGTTAGTGTTAAGAAAAGTTTAATACTAGAGTATCTTTAAATATTATTCTTATTAAAATATTTTTTATAATTAATATATGGAGTATATTATTTTAATTATCTCCGGCCTAAATCGCTAACAGAGAAACGCTACCTTTACCTTTTTTTTTTTTCCCGACCAGAACAAATGCAACCTTTACTAGCTTATTACCTTGACAAGTTTATTAACCTGCTCAGATTTTAGTACCTTGCCCATATCAATAAGAGGGGCACGTGAATATTTTTTGTTATTGCAATATATAATTAATTAAATAAATTCTTATTTAGATATTTGAGCAGCATGCTACCTTTAATTTGAAGTGTGTGTTAACATTTTATAAATTCTCTTTTTTGTCTTGCGTGTGCGCGTCTGAATCTCCATCTTGAAAGTACATCAGGAAAGTTCGAACATTATGGGAAGCTTATAGAATAAATAAATGAATAAATTAATCTAATCTTCCTTATTTTATATCCTAATTACATGGACCTATCCTTAACTCTATTAAGAATATTCTAAAAATATATTTAAATAAATTTTATTTACTAATTTACCATTCATTGTACTAAATCTTTAATATTGACTAGAACTCTTTTGAAGAGTTTAAGAGTTTTTTCTTTGATTTTATTTTCTATTTCTGAAAATTAATTATTTGTATTTTACTCCGAACAAATACACGTCAGTAATGATGATGAAATGCATACGTAGTATGGCTGCTGGCAGCAAGTGTCGGCACTCCTTATCCAGTTATTGACTGTTACGCGTGCCACTTTTTTAGTCTTGCCGCGTTCTTCCTTTGTTTATTTATTTTATTCTTATAAAGTCCTATATTATAAGTATCTATATTTTCCAAAAAAACAGCCTTCGTCACTCCACTCCTACGTCTTACTTGATTCCTATCTTGACTTTTTTTTCTATTTGATATTTTGACCCCACTTAAAAACTGCTTTTTTTTTTTTAAAGTGTATCCAAATTGGCAAATTCATTCAAAATAGTGGAGACCGGCGTTATGATGATGACATAACTCACACGGCTCTATAACGGGTGTTCTAGCTAGTGATGTTTTAGGCAGCTTCATCGAGGGATGTCTTAATTTAATTTTAAATATAAGATATTAATTTATTTTTTTATATTTATCTATTTTTTCAAATTACTCCTTATAGTAGTGCACATATGAAAAATTTTTATCAAATAATAATTCTAACCAATGTACATGATTAGTAAGAATATTTTAAAAGAGATAATATTTATTAATTATAAAAAACTAATTTAATTAATTCTTTAATCTATTAAAATTAGTCAGCTAACTTTTATAATACTAGTAAGGATTGAAACTAGTACTAAATTACTCCTTTTTAATATATATTTGATCGTCTTTTTCAATATACATTGTTTTAGTTTTTTCCTCTCTAAACTTTCAATTTTACATAGTTTTTATTATCATATTATAAGATCCAAATAGTCATGATTTAAAAAAAAATGAGGCCTCCAACTATTTAAAATAGTTATTTTCCTCCAATTTTTAACTATTTTTTTGAAAAACCTATGTTTATGGAAAATTTCGTAACAAGTTATTTTCGCACTGTTTTCACCTTCCAAGTCTCAATTGAGATTCCAAAACCTCTAATTCACCTTTTAACATTTTTCAAAAATTTTCTAGAATTTTTGTCAAAATTTCTCATTTTGTCTTTTTTTTATCGATAATTTTTAAAATATCAGTCTGGATCCTATTGGGGTTTTATATCAACAGTTATTTCGCCCATCTATCCACTTTCTATAGTAATCTTCATTCTAATTTTTAACTCCCTATATGAGGATAAAATTTTTGAGGATGTGACACAACCCTCCTTTTCTCCTGTCTAATAACTAATTCTCTGCCCGTTTGGTTTCCCCCTTGAGTTTTCCCCAGCTTCCTCCTTTCTGGTCTTCTTCTTAAACCTCTTTAGAACTACCATCTCTCCACCTTGTACCTTCTGACTATGAACAGCTGTCTTCTCTCTAACTTCATCCTCAGGCTGGTTCTCATAAGATGAAGCACTGAATCTTGAGCCTGTAACCTTCACTGAATCCGATCACTTAGTCTTGGAAAGTCCGTAGGGGAGAGCGGAGAGTGATCCATCACTACCAGCTATCCATGTGTATAACACGACAAGATTTTAATGATTCACTTCCTTTACTAATAAACTTTTCAATAATTCAAGCCTAAATGAGACATATTTCAGCCTCATGGACCCGAGATATTGTACAATGTGTTGCTCCTTAAAGTAGTTAAGATTTGTAGGAGCAAGTGTTGATTCAAGAAAATTGAGAAATTCTATATGAAGCCATCATAAACATGCGCTTGGAGTATATGGTTATTAAATGGGCCCAAAATAAAAATATCTCATCATTTATTATTGCAAATTATCAAACAACTCAATCATCAATCAAATTCATCTAAAAATTTTGATGATTATAAGAATATTAACTAGTAGAACTAGCTAATCCAAGTCGATCGAGAAAGATAAAGACATCGTACTGTCAGAGGAAGATGCAATGCTAGACATTGTACTGAAGGAAGAAAATAATGAAGAAGAAGAAGAGAGATACATAAAGGAGACGTGTGGGTGAGAAATGAAATATTGCGGTCCAATATTTGAAAACATTCTATTTTCTTAATGCTTGGAAAGGACAAAACAAAGAATAAAAAGAGAAATATGATCTTCATAGTCACTTTTAAACTTGGCATAATTTTTTCCCCTTATTTTCCCCTTATACTTGTATCTTTATGATGATAAAGAGAAAATGAAAACATAAATGACGAGTTTCACCTTGTGGGATCTATATGTAACAAGTGGAATTCATTAATATTCTATAGGATCTTTCTTTCTGTTCGCTTGAAAATTTTCTTTTTCGGAGAAAAAAAAGCCCTAGAATTCTCTCACTTCAAGGTTTCATATCTAATACAAGGATTCATATCCAATTGGTGCTAGGACAAGAAGTTTGATCACTGGATGAATGATTGTCAAAAAGTCCATATATCAAATGCTAGTTCAAAAATAATATATTACCTATATAACCAAAGGCATGTACAGTTTACCTAAGTAATGTAGTTAATTAACATGAAAATGATAATAGTACAAGTTGTTTATCATAATATGAGGTTATGGTTGAAGAGATAGATAGATTAAAAATTTTAAATGGTAAAAAGGTTTGTATTCTTTAAATTTTGATGTTTATAATAAAACTCATATTTTGATCAACAATATAATGAGTATAGCTTTGGATTACATGTCTCGAATAATTAATTTGAGAATAAACAACACTCAAGACTTGTTCAATTATTTTTTTTTAAATCCTTTTTTTTTCTTTGGGGGAAAAAGAATATAGATCAGAGGATAAGTTACTTGTTTATATTCATGGATGATGATGCATGGTTGCGGATGACTACAACCCTACTCTTTTTATTTTATTTTGGGTTAAAGTATAATTCTAGTCCTTTAATTAATTTTTACATAAGGTTTTAATTTAATTCATTAACTTTAAAATGTATACTTTTAATTCTTTAACCCTAAAATCGTTAACAAAAAATAATGATATTGAGACTTTGAATATTAATAAAATATTTTTAAATGCTAATATATTAACTTTAAATTTAAAACCACTATGATTGTTACCAAAAAGAAAATCATCATTTAAAACTAATAATTTTATGTTAAAAAACTAAAAATATACATTTTAAAATTAGGAGACTAAAACGAAACTTATATAAAAATAAAGAACTAAATATATACTTTAGCCTTTATTTTATTATATTTTTGCCAACACACTTGCACTTGGAATTAATTAATTAATGATATAATTAAGTTAATCATAAGTTACGTATAAAGTGCCCATAAGCAGTGTCTAGAACGGGAACACTGACACACTGTGATGTTTTCTTAACCTTTTTATTATAAACGTAAAAGATTCAAATTAATCTTTTTGCCAATAATGTAGCTTTAAACTTTTAATAATGGATCCTTCTAACTATCAAGATTAAATTGTGCAATAAAATACCTGGCTTCTATTGAAAGAAATGGAGAAGAATATAAGGACGGGCACATGTTCATTGCGCACCAGCCGCGGAAGCTACAGTAGGCATAGAGTTTTATTAATTGCAATTGGCTTCTAGGATAACATTTGATGTGATAAAATCTGATAAAATTGTAACAATGCACAATTGGCACACAAATCAGAAATACGGATTAGAAAGAAGTTTTGAGATTAAATGAAAAATATTAATAAAATATCAGTTATCAAAACTTCGTCATACTTGGTTCACCTTCAAAGGTTTAAGAATTCTTTTGTCAAGATGTTAGGGAGAGAATTATTAAATTTAAATTATTAGATTCAATCCAATGATTAACGGTCTTTTCACTTGAAACAAAATGTTCATACTTAAATTTGATTACTTTATCAAAAAAAATTGATTACAAATAAAAGAATAAAATTATATAAAACATAAATAAAATAATACAAAACCTATATTACGTATGAGTAATTAGAGTCAGTATTATGAGCTAAACGCGCAAATTTAGCTTGTGAAATGGAAAGTTCGAGTTGGCAAAACGTGAATTATTTCAGTCCACCAACCCACTTTAATTAGGTTAAGATGACAAAATATCAACTTGTTTTGAGTCGAGCTTTTTCAATGTGATTGCAAGGGATTTGGAGCTGGAAATGCTACGGGAGGGGGGCCAAGGGCTAGGATTGCTGTGTATAAAACTTGCTGGGACTCAGGTTGCTATGACGCAGACTTACTAGCTGCCCTTGATGATGTTCACATTCTGTCTCTCTCTCTCTCTCTCGGTCCTGAAGCTCCCCATGGAGACTATTTCAGTGATGCCATATCTGTGGGGTCATTCCATGCTGCTAGTCATGGAGTGCTTGTGGTCGCATCAGCTGGGAATAGTGGAAATCCTGGTTCTGCTACAAATCTTGCACCATGGATGATCACTGTTGCTGCTAGCTCAACAACAGGGATTTCATATCCGATATTAGATTAGGAAATGGAGTTAACATCAAGGTAAATCTGTTCACTTCTCATTGATGGTTTTTTTTTTTTTGGCACTGTATTTGGACCAGGACAATTACTGTGTAATTGAAACAGGGTGAGAGTCTAAGTCTCTTGGAAATAAAAGCCAACACAAGGATACTTCCCGCATCTGAAGCCTTCGCAGGATATTTCACCCCTTATCAATCCAGGCGACGCACAAGGTTGATGAAACGTGAAAAGTGGTATTTATATGAAGATTCATGCAAAATAATGCCTTAAACATAAATTTTTTTTCTGTTTCTATTTGTTTCTGTAGTTATTGTTTGGACAGTTCCCTCAATGCGACCTAGGCAAAAGGGAATGTTCTGGTGTGTCGCCATGCAGACAGTTCAACAAAGTCAAAACTGGTAAAGAGTAAAATGGTGAAACAGGCCGCAGGAGTGGGGATGAATTATTTTTCCAACACATGGAGGACATCATCATCGTCGAGTTAAACCATAATCTGCTACACTTGCTAAGAATTTAACAAATAAAAAGAAATAAAACATTTCAATTATTAATTAAATAAAATATTTATAAAATAATAAAATTTTAACTAGAATAAATTTGAGCTAGAAAATAATAAAATATAGACTATTAATTATAAAGTAGCGTAAATATTAGTATAAAATAAAAATGGAAAAATAATTCAAAATTAATTCAAATTAAAATTAAATGAATTTGATTTTCTTAATTTGGAATAATGAATATTAATAATAAATAATAAAGCACAAGTGATATGATTATCATAAGGACCTGGTAAAAAGAAAAAGAAACTATAAAGACCTTATTAAAAATCAAGTGCAACTATAAGGACATAAAAAAAAAGAAAAAAAAATATAAACCTAATTAAAAATCAGGTGAAATTATAAGGGTTTACAAATTATTAATTTTTTTATGGGTAGGAAAATTTGTTTCCTTTTTTAAAATACCATCATGATAAATTTATGGAGAAGAAGAGAAATATAATAAACAGCTTAACCATATCTTTATGAATTTATCAGTCTTTTGAGGCCTTTCATTTCTTTCAGTGGTCCTATAAGTCATTTTCCGAGGAAAAAAATTAGAAAGAAAGATGGATGAAAGAATGATGCAGCACAAGAGATTACGATACCAATGGAGATATCACTTTTTGTCCATATGCACATCACTTTACATTATTTACATTACAGGAAAATCAAGTGTTCTCCACGAAACCCATACTAAGACAAGAACCAAGGAAAACTCATGGACAAGGACAACGACAATAGTCACTCATAACATGCGAAGTGACTCGTTCGAGTTCAACCAGGTTCCTCTCGCCCAATCAAATTTGCAACGGCAAACATCAGCACACAAACAAGGAAGGCTGAGATAGTGAACCACCAACTGATGCCTGAAGGCAAAAGCATGCCCATCATTCCCAAGAATCCAAACGTGCCGATCAGAAACGCAGCTTTTTGCATCTTCTTCGCCATGAGAGGCCTTTTCTTATGCAACACAAGAGCAGTTGAAGAAATCGAGAAAGCCAGTGTAGAACAAGCCACCGCAACATAAATCAGAACCTGGTTATCTTTTGCCTTTGATGAAACAGCAAGACTGATTATAGCATTTAGAAGTTCAACAGGAAAAACTATGAAGCCCAGTTTGTTGTGTTCGTGCGGTGATGATGCAGGAGGAGGAGTCACAGGGATATTAATGGAAGTATCATTAGACCTCGAACGATTGATTTGCTGGACTGAGATTTCGGAAGAAAAAGAAGGGCGTGGAGTAGTAAAAGCATCGCCAGAACTGCTTCTGATAGATCTTCTTGAGGACGAACTAAGGGAGTGATTAGAATTGATTACGGCAGCATTAAGATCTCGAGCTTGCTCTTCATCCTTCAGCTTGGATCCTGTACATGCGAATGCTTCCAAGAATAAAGAACTAATTACAGGTACAGAACAGCGGTGAGGATATAATACTAAACTGATAAAATAAAGGATCAGTTCTGATGAGACTTGAGAGTTGTCATCTTCATTGGAGGCTTTTATCTAACTCTTTCTCCTCTTGCAGGCTTTTCAGTCAAAGTCCTTGCTTTGTCCGAGAACAGCTGTGTCTTGCACTGATGTTATCTTAGATCCTTGAAGTAAAAATTGAGCGAGAGAGAGGGGAAAATAGAGAGGAACCCTGACTTGGCATACCTCTCGTTTTCTCTCATCACTTTGAAATAAATAAGCTTCAAAGAATCCTAGCAACCTGTAGCAATTAATACCAAGTATGAGTACCTTAAATAATAGTAGTAGTAGTAGTTGTAGTTTGTAGATATATGCTTACCTCTTCCCTCATAAAGACCAAAGGCTTTGCTTTATTCCTTTGCTCTCAGAACTGATATGAGAAATAGATGGGCATCGATCCTCATGCCTCTCTAAGGTGAGTTTCTGTGGGTCCAATATCACCCGTTTGAGCATATTATGCTTGAATAATCACGCATAATATGTACAAATTCGGGCAAATTGGTCGTGTTTAAATCAACCCAGGATTAGAATTTGTTTATACATGCGAAGAACCATATACAGGAACAGGTATGAATAGAAAAGACGAAAAAATTGAAGTGTGAAAAGAAACCACACCAAGTGATGCTTTTGCAGGCTCCTCGGTAACAACTTGAGGATATGAAACAGGAAGCATTCCGTTAGGATCTTTAGCAACTTGAGGATCCAGGGAATCATCATCACCACGAAGATGATGCTGGGGGGTTTGGTGAGCCATGAATATAATGATGCTCGTTGACTGAACAAGAAAGGAGGAATCGTAAGGAGTATGAAGCAGATGCTTGGGTTTTTGGTACTGAGCTATGGGTTGATTGGTAGCTAACTGAGTTCTGCAAGTGCAGGTTTATACTATGAATAAAGCAACACAAGCTTGGAAAGAACGCGACCCCACATCAATGGAAGTGCGGTCGAACGCCAGATCTAGGAAGATATTTTCCTCTTCACAGGGATCGAGAAGAATCTAGTGTACTCTGGTTTTCTGGAACTAGTTTGAGTGTAAGCACCTATGCTATCCCCCTTAGACTTGAGCTACCTAAATTTAATGGACTGAATTTAAAATTTTTAATTAAAAAGTGATTTTTTGGGGAAAAAATATAATTAAGAAATTATCTTGATTTTAAATTTTATACTTATTAAAATAATTATTTAAAAAAAAAAATAAAAAACATCAAATGTAAACTATCTAAATGAAATTTGAATGATGACCATCCAAACTGATTTTTCTGATTTTCACCCCAAAATTTCTAGCTTTTTGTTGCGAGAAAGGTCTCTCCACTTTCATTCATCACCATTTCCATTCACTTTCCTTTTCCTTTTCCTTTTCCAAATTATGGGTAAATAAAATTTGAATGACGACCACCCAATCTTATTTTTCTGATTTTCACCCCAAAAATTATAGGCTTTTTATGCTTGACTTGAAAGGTCTCTCCACTTTCATTCTTAGTCATTTCCTTCCACTTTTCTTTTCCTTTTACTTTTCCAAATTGTCGGTCACTGTTACGCGTCTGCCTCTTCTGCGGACAATGCGCTCCAACTCTAATCCAGTTACATGACCCCAAGCAAATCACCAAAAAATGAAAAATCACTTCCCCCACCCTGGCCGCCCAATAAAATTCCATCTGTGTCCCCATGTGAAATTCCATTTGCCCTATTTAACATTTTAAAATCTCAAACGTTTACATTGTTCGGGTTGTTTGGGTTGACTTCATCATATATATTTAAACCTACAATTTTTTCACATTAATTATGAAAATAAATTTTATAAAAAAGTATATAATAAAATAAATTCAGTTTCCAAACTAAAATTATGGTCTCTAAGAAACAAGGAATTCTTTAATTTTTGTTTAATACCATAAGATTATCCAATTTTAATAAATTTTATCTAACATTATAAATGTAATCAATATTTATACGAAAGTTATGAATAGACTGAAAAAGTGGCTTTGTTACTTGCTAGATAAAAGTTATTAATACTTATTAAAATGTAGTCAACACATATAAAAAAAAATTGTAAATGCCTGTTAATGTTAAGAAAAGTTTGATACTATGATATCTTTAAATATTATTCTTATTAAAATATTTTTTATAATTAATATACGGATACTTTTACACATCTTTTATTATATTACTACTCAGGTTCTAATTATAAGCGCTAGTTGACTAATTTGAGGAGATTAAGGAAGTAAGTTAAATTAGTTATTTGTAATAAATATGTGTTTTCTTTTCTAAAATATTCTTACTAATCAAGTTTATTGGTTAGACTACCATTATTAGAGGGACTACTTTAGAAAAAAAATACATAAATATGAGAGACAAAGTAAATTAGGGTCTTATAATTAAAACCAAAATAAAAGTCAAACGAGACTTTATATTAATAACCGAAGATATTATTTTAATTATCTCCGGCCTAAATCGCTAACCGTGAAATGCTACCTTTATTAGCTTATTACCTTAACTAATTTATTAACCTGCTCAGATTTTAGTACCTTGCCCATATCAATAAGGGTGTGCACGTGAACATTTTTTTTTTTAAAGTTATTGCAATATATAATTAATTAAATAAATTCTTATTGACCGCATATAGATATTTGAGCAGCATGCTATCCATTATCTGTTCCCAAATTAAAATTATATATCTATATATTACAAAATTCATGCAATAAAAACCTCTCAATATATATATATATATGCTGTCTATCTTTAATTTGAAGTGTGTGTTAACATTTTATAAATACTTTTTTTTCTTGCGTGTGCGCGTTTGAATCTCCATCTTCATCAGAAAGTGCATCAGGAAAGTTCGAACGTAATGGGAAGTTTATATAATAAGTAAATGAATAAATTAGTCTGATCTTCCTTGCTTTTTATCCTAATTACATGGACCTATCCTTAACTCTATTAAAAATATTCTAAAAATATATTTAAACAAATTTTATTTACTAATTTACCATTCCTTGTACTAAATCCTTAATATTAACTAAAATTCTTTTGAAGAATTTAAGAGTTTTTTTTCCTTTTATTTTCTATTTTTGAAAATTAATTATTTGTTTATTTTTTTCATATTAGACCAAGTAATTTAATTAGCACAGATATCAAAACTTTGATTAATTTTGCTAATTAATAACACTTGACTAAATACGTCAGAAATGGTGATGAAATGCATACGTAGTATTGCTGGCAGCAAGGGTCGGCACTCGTCATCCAATTATTGACCGTTACGCGTCCCGCTTTTTGGGCCCTTTTCCAGGTCCAATTACATGATGAGTCTCGCCGCGTTCTTCCTTTTGTTTATTTAAAATATATATTTAGTCCTCTTTTAATTTCATGTAAGATTTTAATTTAGTTTTTTAATTTAAAAAATATAATTTTAATTTTTAAATTATTAGTCTTAATTAATAATTTTTTATAATAATTATGGTTACTTTGAATATTAAACTTAATATGTTAGCATTTAGTAATGTTTTATCAATATTTAATAACTCAATATCACTTTTTTTGTTAACAATTTTAGAGTTAGAGGACTAAAAGTTTACTTTTTTAAAATTAAGAGGCTAAAATAAAACCTTATATAAAATTAACGGAATAAAAGTATACTTTAGCATTTATTTATTTTATTCTTATAAAGTCTTTTTTTTTTTTGATGAAACATCAGGGTATCCACCGGCGGACCCGGTGACTAATCCCTTCGCTGGCTTGTAGGCACCTCGATGGATGAGACAGCTGGCCTGGGGTTTTAAAACTTTTCCATGCCCAAGGTAAGGATTGAACCCTCGACACTTGGTTAAGGGAGGATAAGCCCCCACCGCTCAACCACACCCCTCGGGTTTTTTCTTATAAAGTCTTGCCGCCCTCTTCTCACCACATGAAAAAACTCCCCCTCCTCAACAAAATTCCATTTGTGTCCCCATATACTTTTTGGCCCATTCATTTTATAAAAAAATATATAATTACATAAATTAATTTTCACAACTAAAATTATGGTACCAGCTCTCTGATAAACAAGCAATTCTTATAATTTTTAAATACCAGAAATTTATTTAATTTTAATAAATTTTATCTAACATTATAAATATCTATACTTTCCACACACAGAAAAAATAGCGTTCGTCACTCCTACGTCTTACTTGATTTTTTTTTTTAAGTGTATGCAAATTGGCAAATTCATTCAAAAAAGGCAAAACTCACACGGCTCCATAGTAGGGGTGCCCTAGCTAGTGGTGTTTTTAGTGGCTTCATTGAGGGATGCCCGAAGTGGTAATGTTAAATTTATTTTTTATAATATCTCTGTTTCTTAATATAAAAATTAATTTAATTTTTAATTTGATTATAAATATAAGATATTAATTTATTTATTTTTTTATATTTGTCTAGTTCTTCAAATTACACCTTATAATAGTGCATATATTAAAAGATTTCATCAAATAATAATTCTAACTAATATACATGATTAGTAAGAATATTTTACAGATGACAATACTTATTAATTATAAATAACTAACTTAACTAATTTTTTTAATTTATTTAAATTAGTCAATTAACTTTTATACTACTATTAAGGATTGAAAGTAGTACTAAATTTAGTATGTATTTGATCATCTTTTTCAATTCTCATTGTTTTAATTTTTTTTTCTAAACTTTCAATTTTACATAGTTTTTATCATATTGGGTCCGTTTGGATGAGCGATTGGAAAAGCAGCTTATAGGAAAAGTAGCTTATGGAGAAGTGAAGTTGGTAAAAGCTAAATTGGATAAGCTGAATTGTGTTTGGATTGGAGTTCAAAAAAGCTAATTTGCAGAAGTGAGATTGGTAAAAAGTTGTTTGGATTATAGTTGAGTAAAAGTGAGTTTGGTTATAAAATGACTAAAATGGGTATAAGTGTTAGTAAATAATGAAATATGATAAAAAAATGATTTGACATAATACAATGAAATTAAAATAATTTATTATGAAGAAGTCAAATTAATGAGTGAATTAAATTTTAAAATTTCAAAAAAATCATAACAAATATTTTAAATATAATGTGAAACATGAAAAAAAATGAATTGATATAATACAGTGAATTATTGTTAATTTGATATGAAGAAGTGAAATTGATCGAGGGAATTAAATTTGAAAACATAAGAGAAACGGAAAAAAAATTGCAAATATAAAACGAAACATAATTTGAATGGGTAAACATGTTTTTAACTCCAATTTACAGTATTGCAACAAAGTGAAACTAAATAATATTACATAACTAATCAATAGATAAGCTATGGATAATTTGGTCTCTGATTGCATCACGGACGCGATTCATATGCGATGAAGACTGTGATGTAACATTTGAAGATGATGGTTGACTAGCTTCAGCCTGATCATGTTCGCCCACATTATTACCATTTTCAGCTTGTTCAAAAAACAAGTCGGAGCTCGAATGTCTCCTTATAAGGTTATGAATGGCCATTGTTGCACAAACCAGATACACTTGTGTTTGGAAGTCGTAACTGCGCATATTTCGTAGGACTTGAAATCTATTCTTCCAAACACCGAATGTTCTTTCTATTGTGCACCTTAAACTGGAATGATAATAATTAAAGGCTTCGTTGCTATTTCGGAATCCTACTTGTCGTTGGAAGTCTAGAAGGTGGTAGCGCTTAGATCTGTATGGACCTAGATATCCATTTGGTGTTGGATATCCCGCATCAACCAAGTAATATTTCCCTAATGATTCATGAAACAATTTGAGAGATTGTGAAATGAATAAAAGTATGAAATAATTAAAAAAACATGCATGATTGGAACACATAAACATATACCTGGAGGTGGATGAGGGAAATTAAGAGATGAATTTGTAATAGCACTATCAAATATACGAGCATCATGTGCAGATCCCTCCCATCCTGCCAAGACAAAAGTGAAACACATATCCCAGTCACATACAGCCATGACATTTTGTGATGGATATCCCTTTCTGCCAATAAATTTGTCTCGTTTTGCAGCGGGGACAACACACTGTATATGAGTGCCATCAATTGCTCCGATTGCGTCCTTAAAAAATGGGTAGTAACGTGGATCGTTCTCAATTTTTCTATGAGTTCCACGAAATGTTGGATCTATGGGTCGAATAAGTTCACTCGATAGGCTAAGATAAGCTTGCAGTACATTGTGAAAGTGCCTACTTACAGTTTCTCCTGATCGTTGAAATCGTTCCTGGATCATCCTATTGCATTGTCCATGTGCAACCGTGTTTAAAAACATCGCAACCATTTCTTCAATTCCTACGTACTTAGACTTTTGTAAACCATGTTCCACCAATTTAGTACATAAGAGGTGGAAAACATCTTTATCCATTCTAAACATTTCATGACATCGATCATCATGCCCATTCATAATGCCTTGTACCTATAAATTTCCTGTCTGCTCACTAGTTTTGCACGGTTGTTTAAACATGTACATTTCACAATAATGACCAACCAATGCACCTACTGCTTCATATTGTGTTAATTCCTCATTAATTATGGTTGAATGGTCATCTTCATTTGGCCGTGAATCGTTATTCCAATTCCATAAAGTATCTTCATTCCATGGTGAATCATCGTTCCAATTAGCCATTTCTGGAATTAACCCTGTAATTGTGGTGAAAACAAAATGTAAGCATTATAAGGATTACACTAAACAAAGTGTAAATAATTTTCATACTGCAAACAGAAAAACCAAACGCATAGATGACAAGTAGAAATTAGCGTAAATATATTACATAATGATTAATAAAGTTCCTACAACATGCCACATCAGTTTAGGTTAAAACAGCAGGTAGTTCAGGTTAATAAGTGCAATAACAATAGTGAAACAGCTAAGTCCTAAACTAAATCCTATTCTGCAGGTCACTTCCATGTGTTTGGGTCTTGTGCTGCCGGTATCAACCACGCCAACAACTTGCTTCTATCATGCATAAACCCCAAATAGGCTCGCCTAACCCACCTCAACCGCGTAAGCATCTTGGCACATGCATAATATAGTTGATTGTCATCATTAAGCTCCTCAACGGTAGTCAGGTGTGCCAAAACCTTATCAACTACTTGGGGATCTTCAACCAATGCTGCTGCTCGCTTGTCAGAAGCAGCTGCTATGACACTCAGGCTATCAGAAATTAATGTAGATGCAGCAACTTTCTTCTTCTTCTTTGCATCTAATGTCTCACCCCTCTTTCTCTTTCCATAGCTTCCTGAGCCACTTGGTCCAGTACTTGCGGGGGTGTTTATGTTGCAAGCAGCAAAGTCATCTGTGAACCCTGCACTGGCTGTTGGGTCCACACCAAAGTTTTCATCCTCACTATCCCCTGACCTTTCTTGTTGGTCTAGCCCGACTCTATAAACATCCTCCTCCTCTTCTATGTCAGGCTGTGGAGCAAACGCTGGCTGAGGCTGTGAAGCTGATGGTGCGTACGCATACTCTCCCGAAGCCACAACATCTCTGAATATTTTCATCAAATCTGATGCAAACATCAACCCCTGATGTCTAAATTTCTTGAAATTAGGGTCCACCTACATGAACATAATTAGGCATAATTAAGCGATGTTCCTTCTGATATTCAAAATTAAAACTCAACTAACACAAATAGTTACCAGTATTTTTCGTTGCCACCACTCATCAGAAGCCAACACCCTATTTGTGGCTGCATCATAACCAATGCCAGTCTCCCCAGACATCAGTTTTTCCCACAACTTCCAATCTTTTCTCAATACATCAAATCTGTTCTTCAGTTGCCTTCTGTCATACATTTTCCCGCTCCTTTCCCGAAAATTCTTTTCAATTTTCCCCCAACCAAGTCTTGTAAACGATGTTCCTTGTCTTTCTTTGTACACTATTTGCTCGGCACAAACATCGATTAGAATTTTTGTCGTGTAATGATCCCATGTCGCTTTTCCCCTGTCATTGTCCATTTCTCTACGTCCTTTGATCGAGATAAGAGTAACTAAATCAACCAAAGTCCTAAATATGTAATAATAAAAACTGTATTATATAATACATATGTTGTAACCAAACAAACATATATCACCAAGTAACACATTTTAATTGCATAAGCTGTTTAGTTTTCTTATTCGATATTTTTTAACATTATAAATATATAATCACAATGTCAATGTCCACTATTTTTCGGTGGTAATTGATTGTGAACATTTTAAAATTAAATTTTCAATATATCATATAAATTGAACCTAAACTACATTACATTGATTAATTTTTATCCTAATTTAACTGTGTAGGAGTAAAATAAAAACCAAATTAAGAATGATGAACAAGATTATTTACAAAAATATTATATTTATCATAATTAACTAATTTACCTAACTTTTTTAATATAATTAAATTAGTTAAATAAATATCATATTAGAGAGAAGTAAGAGAATATAACAGGAGAAAGAACAACATTAAATTTATTTTGATTGAGACTTCCCCAAATTAATTCCAAATGATTTTTAAGTAATTATCCACATAGTCCTTAATTTCTTTGTATAGTACAAATTAATGTCTTATTACTTTGCTCTATCAACGCCGTTAATTAGCTTTATCAAATGAACCATTCAGACACACATATATACACATATATACACCATGTTACCACCTCATTCTCTTCTACCCTACCCTCATAGAGATCAAATCCTATAACCATAAAAATCAAGAGAATCAAGAGACCGAAGCTAAGGACATGCAAAACAACAACCATTGTAATTCTGAAAATTACAATTCCAGAGTTACATATCTCACCATTAACAACGTATATACGCAACAATTTCTTGAATCCTATAACCATAAAAATCAAGAGAATCCTATACGCCGTTTCCTTGAACCATTAATCGTTGTTTCAGCCTTGGAAAACAGAGGAAGAAAATCGATATGCAACTAGAAATTTTATGCTACATTCGGTCCCTGTTTCGGTGTCACAACCAGTTGGTCATCAACATGCAGCAATCATTAACAAATTTGAATTCAAGCACGATAGGAAATTCAAGGACGACAGGAAATTCAGGGAGGACAACAAATTCAAGGACGACCGGGGATCAAACCGGAAAAGCGACATATAACCGGCCAACCTGCAGTAGATCCAACCAAACAAAGGCTGCCAGAGGTAGATCCAACGGTATATTGCACTGGGAAGCCAAGATCTCCACGCACGGCTCAAACGCAGAGGCAGACGCCGGCGACGTCGGTTGCAGACGGTGAGAGCAGCTCCGACTTGTGATGAATGAATGGCATCCACTAAGCCACGGACACCTCACCCCAACAACTGACCTCGCGATGATGACCGGACGGAGCTCACGGTCACCAGTGACGAGCTTCTCAGACGCGACCACCGACGGACGTTCTCGAGCCGAGTAGAGACGGAGCAAGCTGGGAGCTCGGGTTAACAAAAGAAAAAGAGAGTCACGAGGGTTTAGGGAATAAAAGAAGGCAGATGTGAAGAGAAAAATAAAAGTAGTGCTGTCAGAACGGTCATAAGCTGAATTCCCAGGGGCCAGAAGCTGCCAGGCACCAGCTTATGCCAATTGTGCGTTCAATGGGCTTAAAAAATGATAAGCCCAATTGTCATATTGCTCTGCCAAACGGACCAATTTTTCCACTGAGCTTATAAGTGATTATAAGCCACGTTTGGGCCAGCAAACGCTGACCCAAACAGGCACTAAGTCGACTTGCGATTGTCCAAGAATCCAAGGTTAATCGATCAATCTCTCAAAATTGATTGAACAAAATTGAAGGGCTGGACGCATTGTTTCAAACTACGATATCGTGCCTCTGATGCAATCTTCCAGACCTTGGAAACTTTACGTATAATGAAACAGTTAGGCTATAAGGAGGATAATAAGAAGAAAAAATGGTAAAAAAAAGAACTTAAAAATTGAAAAATTACATATAGGATTCTGTTTATAAAAATTGTTATTATGTGCTTATTAATTATTCTCAAAGCCCATATACCAAACAATTAATTTTCAGAGTGAGACGACTAACCTTAGATTTTTGGAGACGCAAGAGTTTTTGTGTTTTATCGATGAAAACAATCAATAGACTACATCTGATCCTTAATATACAATCTCATTTGACTTTTATTTTAATCCTAAATATAAGACCTTAATCTACTTTGTTTCTAATATTTAGTCATTTTTTTCTAAAATAGTATTTGTGATAATAGTAGTTTCTAGCTAATACATTTGCTTAGTAAGGATATTTTAGGAAAGACCGCTTATTTATTACAAATAACTAACTTAACTAATTTTTTTAATTTATTTAAATTAATTAACTAGTTATTATATTAAGAACGAGAAGTAATATAAAATAATCCATGACCCTTTTTAAGGTGCAGGTCAACTTCGATGGCCGTCTTTTCAGTTTTCACAGGTCGGTGCTAACAGGGTTTAACTGAGATTAAGTGATGATAATGCGTATAATTAAAACACACGGCAAAAGCTGATTTACAACTTGGCCATACTTGACCTAAATTTGATCCTTTATTTTATCATTGAGTGATTTAAAATAATTTTAAAATTAACACAGGAAAAATAGTTTTAGAAATATCTCCAATTTGAGGTTACCAACCATAATATCTTTTTAATTCTTACGTTATCTCCCAAAAAATTGTTTTTTAAGCATATTTTACCGCAATGACTTTAATTTGATTATTTACTGGCCTTTTTATAATGCATTATCTTATGTTCTTAAATGTTAAAAATATTTTTTTAAAATAATTTTATGTCTTAAAAACTTGATTAATTTTAAATTTTTATTTCCTTGTTGTTATCCTTTTCATTCTTTGTAAGAATGATAGAGTTTCAACAACAATTCAAAGAGCTGTATAGTTGAATTTAAAATACAAAATTATTTTTTTAAAAAAATTCTTGCACTTGCCATGTAATAATCATGGAGATTCATTATATTTGTCATGGATTAACCCAGAAAAAGCTGATGATGAAAATATTAGAAGAACTTATATATACAAACTTTTTCAATAATTTAAGCCTAAATGAGACATATTTTAGCGTCATGGACCCGGGATTATAAGAATATTGATGATTATAAGAATTCATCTAAAAATTTTCATGATTATAAGAATAGTAACTAGTAGAAAAAGAACTAGCTAATCCAAGTTGATCGAGAAAGATAAAGACATTGTACTGTCAGAGGAAGATGAAATGCTAGACATTGTACTGAAGGAAGAAAATAATGAAGAAGAAGAAGAGAGATACATAAAGGAGACGTGATTGAGAAATATGTGCTTGCGGTCCAATATTCGAAAACATTTCATTTTCTTGATGCTGGGAAAGGACAAACAAAGAATAAAAAGAGAAATATAATCTTAATTATCACTTTTAAAATTATACTTGGCATAATTTTTTTCCTTATTTTGTTCTTATACTTGTATCTTTATCATGATAAAGAGAAAATGAAAACATAAATGACGAGTTTCACCTTGTGGGATCTATATGTAACAAGTGGAACTGATTAATATTCTATAGGATCTTTCTTTCTGTTCGCTTGAAAATTTTCTTTTTCGGAAAAAAAAAAAGCCCTAGAATTCTCTCACTTCAAGGTTTCATATCTAATACAAGGATTCATATCCGATTGGTGCTAAGAAGTTTGATCACTAGATGAATGATTGTCAAAAAGTCCATATATCAAATGCTAGTTCAAAAATAATATATTACCCATATAACCAAAGGCATGTATAGTTTATCAAAGTAATGTAGCTAATTAACATGAAAATGATAATAGTACAAGTTCTTTATCATAATATGAGGTTATAGTTGAAGAGATAGATAGATTAAAAATTTTAAATGGTAAAAAGGTTTGTATTTTTCAGATTTTGATATTTTATAATAAAACTCATATTTTGATCAACAATATAATGAGTATAGCTTTGGATTACATGTCTCTAATAATTAATTTGAGAATAAACAACAATCAAGGCTTGTTCAATTATTTTTTTAAAACTCCTTTTATTTCTTTGAGGGGAAAAAGAATGTAAATCTGAGGATAAGTTACTTGTTTATATTCGTGGAAGATGATGCAGGGTTGCGGATGACTATAGCCCTACTCTTTTTACTTTATTTTAAGCTAAAATGTAGTTTTAGTCCTTTAATTAGCTTTATATAAGGTTTTAATTTAGCCCATTAACTTTAAAAAGTATACTTTCAGTCCTTTAACCCTAAAATAGTTAACAAAAAATCATGATATTAGGATCTTGAGTGTCAATAAAAAATTTTTAAATGCTAACATATTAATTTTAAATTTCAAAATCACTATGATTGTTACAAAAAAAAATCATCATTTAAGACTAATAATTTTAGACTAAAAAGACTAAAAATACACTTTTTTAAAATTAGGAGACTAAAACAAAACCTTATATAAAGATTAAAAACAAATATATACTTTAGCCTTTATTTTATTATATTTTTGCCAACTCACACTGCACTTGGAATTAATTAATGATATAATTAAGTTAATCACAAGTTACGTATAAAGCGCCCATGAGCAATGTCTAGAATAGGAGCACTGTGATGTTTTCTTAACCTTTTTATTATGAGGCGTAAAAGATTCAAATTAATTTTTCCCAATTATAAATTATCAGCTTTAAACTTTTAACAATAGATCCTTCTAATTATCAAGATTAAATTTTGCAATAAAATACCTGGCTTCTATTGAAAGAAATGGAGAAGAATATAAGAACGGGCATATGTTCATTGCGCACCAGCCACACTAGGTATAGGGTTTTATTAATTGCAATTGGCTTCCAGGATAACATTTGATATGATAAAATCTGATAAAATTGATCCCGGGCCAGCTGTCCCACCCATCGAGGTACCTACAAGTCAGCGAAAAGATTAATCACTAGATCCGTTGGCGGATACCTTGATGTTTCGTCATAAAATCTGATAAAATTGTAACAATGCACAATTGGCACACAAATCAGAAAGACAGAAGAAAAAAAAAGGAAAAAGAGAGAAAGAAATTGTGAGATTAGATGAAAAATATTAATAAAGTATCATTTATCAAAACTTAATCATACTTGGTTCAATTTCAAAGGTTTAAGAATTGTTATGTCAAGATGCCAGGGAGAGAGTTGTTGCATTTAAATTATTAAACTCAATCCAATGATTAATGGTCTCTTCACTTGAAATAAAATGTTCACTCTTAAATTTGATTATAAAAAAAAGAATAAAATTATATCAAACATAAATAAACTAATACAATACTCGTATCAAATATAAGTCAGAAATACTCATCATGAAATAGAATCGGTATTATATGCTGAACTCGCAAATAAAAAGTTTGGGTTGGCAAAAATGTAAATTACTTCAATTCCCCAACCCGCTTTAATTGGGTTAGGATGACAAAATGTCAAAATTCATCTTGAGTCCAGCCTTTTTAATGAATTTCACATTAGCCCTGTTCCTCGTGAAACCAATTCAACGTAATTGCTGAAAAAATAATTAAGTATAAGGTATAAATAATTAATTTTAAATTTATTCTAAGTGTTATTTTTTAAAAAATGTAAATTTATTATTAAGATGATATATAAATTTTTTTTTAATTTAGAGTCCTCTAAATATAATTAAAGAGTATTTGGATGAAAACGAAACTATAATTTTAAAAATTTTTATAGTATAAAAAATAAATATATAAAAAAAATTTCTTTTGCGAAAAAATGCTGGTTACTTTTATACGTTCCCACACTCCACCATCGAATGATTTATGTCACTGTCCCCCAGCACCGACCAGAGGCGGATGCCTATCAGAACGTCTCTCTGCGTGCCCCCTTTCTGACCGTTTTCCACATGGATTCCTCACACTGGTCTTGTGCATTCCAAATTTCCAATGCTTTTGAGTTCCACTGGGTTGTTTCTTCAACTAGTGAAGGAGCTGCTTATTAATTGAACAGAGCTACTTTGAACTTGGAAGAATGCTCTGGGGAAATGAATCAAGTTTCAACGGCAAAGCGTTTGGTCCAGAGCTCAGTAGAAGTAGAACTCTTCAGAGGATGCGACATGGAATTAAGAGCAATCTTTCCTCAGTTGATTTCACTGCGGATCAAGTTATCTTCCGTGCTCAGGAAGGTGTTGCTAGTATCTGGAATTTCTCGCAACATTTCGAAATCCATCGCAGAGTCCGTGCTTTAAGTAAGAGGGATGCGATAAAGGGAAAAAAGAATGCAGCGACGCAAGATCCGAGCTGAGCTGAGGTGAGCAATAAAACCGGTAGCATCGATCACGCTCATACGCAGCCAAGAAAAATTCAGTGAATGGCATATGCCATATGGCCTAGTGTTCGTATGATCAGTGAAGAGGAGAAGCCATATATTTTAATTCCAATTAAGTAATAGTTAGTCTGCGTATCAGTCCTGACTACGTCTCCACTTACATCGCATCATCAATTCATCATCGTTTCCTCCTAATTTTCAATTTTCCAACCGTGATTTTTGGTAACATATGAGGATTCTTTTTTGCTTCATTAAGGTAGAATTCACTGTTTTTAATTAAGTCCTTAGTTTGATTGTAACTTTTGTGTCCTTCATCTATTTGAGTGATGTAATTTTTCGTAAATCAAATTTGATATATAAACTTTCATAATTTATTATTTCTACGAACTAATAATTAATTTGTAACACATTTTATTAAGGTATCAATCATCGTTTCTTGAGATCAGAAAAGAATCCCGGTTCCTGAGGATCACAGTGGCCTAGTTGAGTGCTAGCCCAAAATACATCTTTATTCCGTAACGCTTTGCGGTTACTTGGCCTCCCACAAAAGCAACAGACACTCGTCCGTCTTACGCACTAAACTCTGCCATCATAGGACTCCACGTTTTTAATCTGCGTCCTGGTTGCTTACCTTATTGATTTTTGCATTGAAAAAATGGCTTGGTCTTTTCTCCTCCCACGCTTAAATTGATTGCCAATTTCTGCTATTTGTTTCATCTTTTGTTATACATACTGGTTCTCCTTGATTTGATCGTCTTCCAATATGTTTTGTTCTGGTTGTGCTAGAAGCCGTACTGCCATCGCCTGCCTGTTTCTTGCGGTTATTTCTGCAGAAACTAGATTTTGCTTCTCATCTAAGGTAGAATCAAATTCTAACTGCTCCGTTCTGGTTTTGGGGATGACTTAGTGTTGGACTGAATGGCAGGTTTATGTAGTTTACATGGGAAGCAAAACTAGCGAAGATCCTGATCAAATTCTGAAGCAACACCATCAAATGCTCACTTCTGTTCACAGAGGGAGGTCAGAGTTTTTGCTATTTTTCCCTTTTCTGAAAAGTTTTCTATGCCCTTCTCTTTTATTTCAGATGCTTGATTTTCTACTTTTTCCTTATTGGAAACGTTGAGCAGTGTTGAGGAGGCACAAGCTTCCCATGTTTACAGCTACAGACACGGCTTCAGAGGCTTCGCAGCCAAGTTGACGGATGATCAAGCTTCCCAAATTTCTGGTAATTTCTTTTATTTCTCTTTCTTTTTACTTTTAACATATGTAATCACTCTTTAACGCTCAAAAAAAAATTGCTTCTGTAATCTACTTTAATATTGACAGATATGCCCGGAGTAGTCTCTGTTTTCCCCAATTCTAAGAGAATTCTGCACACAACTCATTCGTGGGATTTTATGGGACTTCCAGACGACGAAAACATGAAGATTTTTGGGCACTACACCAGAAACCAAGCAAATGTAATAGTTGGCTTCATTGATACGGGTAAGCAGTATTACCAGTTATGGAAAGATTCTTTATTACTTCTACGAAGCAAACTCCCTGCGCGGTAATTCATGACTGTTCCATACAGGCATTTTCATCGGCCCTCAGGCATTTCCACGCTGCATTTATTACTTTGACAGTAGAAACTGTGTCTCTTTCCCACTCTCATTTTATCAGTTGCCCCTTAAGAGCAAAGTATTTTCTTAAAAAAAATTCAACCTCAGAAGACTTGTATTGTCTCTTTTCCCTTCTGGCAAACCTTAATTGATGGTCTGGTGTTAATAAATGGGAATCACAGTTGATCTAACTTGAATCATGATCACTATTCAAACAGGAATTTGGCCAGAATCCCCAAGTTTTAAAGACCTAGACATGCCTCCAGTGCCATCCAAGTGGAAGGGACATTGTCAACCAGGAGAAGCTTTCAACGCTTCATCTTGCAACAGGTTTTTTGATTGAACATCATCTTTATCTTTTAGCTTTATTGACTTCGGTTTGTAGATGTGTTGTTTTCATTGGTCCATAATTAATGGCATAGGAAAGTGATTGGAGCTAGATACTATGCAAGTGGATTTGAAGCAGAGGAAGATTTAGAGAACAAATTTTCTTACAAATCTCCCAGGGATAGCTCTGGCCATGGCAGTCACACTGCCTCAATAGCCGTAGGACGCCACATGGCAAACATGAATTACAAGGGATTTGGAGCTGGAAATGCTAGGGGAGGAGCACCAAAGGCTAGGATTGCTGTGTACAAAACTTGCTGGGACTCAGGTTGCTATGACGCAGACTTGTTAGCTGCCTTTGATGATGCCATCCGAGATGGGGTTCACATTCTGTCTATCTCTCTCGGTCCTGAAGCTCCCCAAGGAAACTATTTCAGGGATGCCATATCTGTGGGGTCATTCCATGCCGCTAGTCATGGAGTGCTTGTGGTCGCATCAGCTGGGAATAGTGGAAATCCTGGTTCTGCTACAAATCTTGCACCATGGATGATCACTGTTGCTGCTAGCTCAACAGACAGGGATTTCACATCCGATATTAGATTAGGAAATGGGGTTAACATCAAGGTAAATCTGTTCACTTCTCATTGATGGAATTTTTTTTTTTTTTTTGGCACTGTATTTAGACCAGGACAATTACTGTGTAATTGAAACAGGGTGAGAGTCTAAGTCTCTTGGAAATGAAAGCCAACACAAGGATACTTCCCGCATCTGAAGCCTTCGCAGGATATTTCACCCCTTATCAATCCAGGTGACGCACAAGGTTGTTGAAACGTGAAAAGTGGTGTTTATATGAACATTGATGCAAAATGATGCCTTAAACATAAATTTTTTTCTGTTTCTATTTGTTTCTGTAGTTATTGTTTGGACAGTTCCCTCAATGCGTCCAAGGCAAAAGGGACTGTTCTGGTGTGTCGCCAGGCAGACAGTTCAACAAAGTCAAAACTAGTGAAGAGTAAAGTGGTGAAAGAGGCCGGAGGAGTGGGAATGATACTTATTGATGAATTAGATCTAGATGTTGCCATCCCATTTATAATTCCTTCAGCCATCGTAAGAAGGGAAACGGGAGAAAGGATTCTGTCTTATGTTAATAACACACGGTTTGTTTTACATTCAAAAGTATGGACATTCCTTTTGAGCTCTCTGAGGTCTCAGCTATTCTCTAATCTAGCTTTCTATGATTCTGAACAGTAAGCCTACGTCAAGAATTTTCAGAGCAAAGACACTGTTTGGAACTCAGCCTGCACCCCTTATGGCGACATTTTCTTCTAAAGGTCCCAGCTCTTTAACCCCAGCAATTTTGAAGGTAATATTCTCATTAACAAGAAGGGAAATAGAGAAATTTATTCGGCTCTTTGGCAAATATCATTTCATTTAATTCTTTCTTGGAAGATTTGTAAGTTTTGACTCTGCTGCTGTATAGCCTGATGTCACAGCTCCGGGATTGAACATCCTTGCAGCATGGTCACCAGCTAAAAGAAACATAATGTATAACATTCTCTCAGGAACCTCTATGTCTTGTCCTCATGTAACTGGAATTGCAGCCTTAGTTAAAGCTGTTCATCCTTCGTGGTCACCATCTGCTATCAAATCAGCCATCATGACAACCGGTATCACGTTATGGCAGTAAATAGTAGTATCTTTTTCTTGTGGTCTATATAGTATAATCTTGCCTGAGTTCCTTCTTACTCAAATTGGTACTAGACTTCTTAGACATCAAACATGATTAAATTCTCAAATAAAATGCCAAGCAACTCAGAATAACCAAGAAAAGGATCACCACGCATATTCCTATAGTGCACAAGCTTCATTACCTCCTACCAGGAAATTAATCTCAGGCATGATATGTGCAGCTACAACTCTGGATAAACAACACAAACCCATCAGAGCAGATGCTGGACGAAGAAAGGCTAATTCATTTGATTATGGATCGGGATTTGTGAACCCTGCAAGAGTTTTTGATCCTGGCCTCATCTATGATATAAAGCCAGAAGACTACATAGAGTTCCTTTGTTCACTGAAGTATGGTGCCAAGTCACTCCGGCTTGTTACAAGAGACAACAGTACATGTCATAGCCATAGAAGACGCAAAGCTGCCTCTGACCTCAACTATCCATCTATTACAGTGCCCAACCTCAAAGACAACATTTCAATATCTCGAACTGTGACTAATGTTGGAGAGGCAAGAAGTATATATAAGGCTGAAGTGTCTCCTCCTGCTGGAGTTAAAGTCACTGTTGTGCCAAACCAACTTAACTTCAGAAGAGTTAGGCAGAGCATCAAGTTCACTGTCAATTTTAAGTGGTTTTCTCCCTCAAAGGGCTATTCATTTGGCTTCTTGTCATGGAAGAACAGAAGATCACAGGTCACCAGTCCTCTGGTTGTCCGGGCTGCACGAGCGATAACAAGTTAACAATGCTCTTCTGCTTATAAATAACAACAGTGCTTGTAAATATTTTGCATTAGCTTAGAATCTTTGTGGATAGTGATCCATATAGGCATTAGAACAAGATTCATGCTGAAATCTTGATGCATACCACTTTTATATAATTGGAACAGAAAACACTAGTGACAGAATATGAATGTAAACAATGATAGTTTGAAGCCCTCGCTACTAAAAGTGTAGAATATGCATGTAATTCGAATCTTACGCGTTGCAAAGCCCATTTTATGCTGCAATTTCTCATGAGTTATAATGTGTCACCATTCCTTGGGTCAATTTTGGATTTTTGTCTAGTCCATGCACACCTTGAAATTGATAATATTTAATGGATAATTTTGTTAAAGCCTTTTGTGTGAATATGATTGCATATTTTGTTGTCGTTATCCGGATGGTGATATAAATATTATTGAACATTTGACATTTAGACTCACTAACAACATCAAAGTGAATTTTCTTTTATTAAATAATTTAAAAATTTGTGGTCTTAATCAAATAACTTAAATAAAGAATATTATAAGATGGCAATTTGGTGTTAAATATACATGAAACCATCTTCAATATAAATATGTCACAGTCATATAATATTTCAATAATTACATATCTACTTAGGTATATATTTCAGAGGCAATGGTTTTAATCGCATCTTTGGTTGGTGATGATGTAATGATCAATTCTAGAGCAAAATATATTGACCTTCCTTTTATTTTTAAATAAGACTATATTTTTTAAAAAAATTTACATCTTTTACACATTATTTTTAATTAATTTAATCAATATTTTGATCTGCTAGTTGTGACTTACATATGAAATTGGAAGTAGTATGTAGTGAATACCTTTCCTTTATTTTCAAAATTTCTTTTGAGAATGAACAACACGGCTAACTCGTTTAAACTTTAGGTAAGTGCACAGATCTGCCCTTGAAATATTTTTGTTAGTTCAAGATGGAGCATTACTACCCGAGAAATCCTAAAATCCAAACAATGTTGTCCCTTCGTTAAATTTCCATCACTTTCGTAGCGGACCAGAAAAATTATTAATAAGTCGCCTAAAAAAGATTAATACCGGTACTAGGGCCATTCCATTCCATGCTAAAGACCGAACCAAAATACCATTTTCGATTATCAGATCATCATAGTCGGCCAAAAAAATATTATTTTTGTTTTACACATTGGTTTTTGAAGGAAAATGAAACTTATGCTTCAACGCTTGAATTGGTAGCCAATTTCTGGTATCCTTAAATCTTTGGTTTTACATACTGGTTCTTCTTCGCTTCGTCCTGTGACAATCTATATTCCAGCACACTGCTTTTCTTGGTACAAGCACACTACTTTTAACCAAAAGTTGAGGCTTAATATGTTCCTGGAAAACCCACTCCAAAGGCATTAAGAATCTATCCTGACTAAAGACAAAAAGATTTGCACAAACATAATTTTTGGTACAAGCACAGCACCGTTATGCAAGTGATACTCACTCCCTCCCCACGAAAATACGAGGGAGAAAAAGCGAACGGGAGAAAAGGCATTAAGAATCTATCCTGACTAAAGACAAATATGATCAAAGTTTATCTGCGTCATAAGTGACAGAGGGGTTCAGCCTTCAAATATAAGACTTATCTGATTTGCACAAAGTAATTTTTGATACACCAATACCAATTTCTATAGAGCTATACAGAACAGCCAAACATTGACTCCTGTTCAGGCATTTTATCATTAATAAATGGATTGCTCTATCGGAAGATGAAGGCATATGCAGAAGTTCTAGAAAAATGTAATTTGTAAACACTAGGGCTGCATCTCTGAAGGATCGACGAGGCCTTCCAACACACGAGCTGATCCAACAGTGCAAGCTTCTCGTCTTCAAGGGTCTTTACCTCATCTTCAACCTCTTTTAGTTCTGTCCCTAATGCAAAGCTCTCATCTTCCAGCAATAGATACTTTCGCCTCAGTGCTCGGTAATCATTTCCAGCAGAAGAGGAGTCCGGCAGTGAATCTGAGTTAGAACCCTCTGTTTTCTGAAATGGGGGTGATATTTCAGTCATCAAGTTTCTCTTGGAACCCTTGTGTCCTGATCTTAGTGAAACAGGTGCCTGTACTTCTTCATTCACATTATTTCCTTGTAGCTGAAATAAAGATGCTCTCTGTGTTGAGCTCTTCTTCTTGCGTGATTTAGGGTTTAAGATTTCTTCGGGAACAGGAATCCTTGGATCTTGCATTTCTCACCGATAGTTACTACAAATTAAGAGAAAAGAGGACTATAAGAACACATAGGCTATGAAGTTACTTGAACAAAAGCACTGCATCAAAATAGGCTTTAAAGTTCACACACAGACTATGCTTCGTGTTCATCACCTGCTTTGGCTTATTAATACAGAAAATGATTAAGGATGTCACGGCATGAATCATCATCCTCAACTTCTAAGATGAATTGGAACAAAAGATACTCATGGGATTGACCAAGTACAATGGAAGGATAGAGTGTTGATTACTTGATTCATATCTACAGTCCTGATGTAATTACAGGAACCTCACCACTATAAATTAATCGTTGAATATCTCATTCAGCTTCCAAATTTGCTCAAGTAATTGGTAATAGTTTGTAAAATTGACGGTTAAATTAGCGGAAAACAACCAAATTTACGTCAAAAAGGATCTGGGCCTCAGCGTTGCAACTCTTTCAATTCGCCAAATCAACATTTGATGGGGCATATCCGAATTACAGCACAAACTACTTAATCATGAGCAGGAGTAGATAAGCTCTTGAAAGACAGAAATATGCCGAGCCATGTTCAGAAAGAACAATCCGTCCCCATGAAAAAGTTGAAAATTAATACACACATTGAACGTCTAAATATTTGCATAGACTGAAAAATAATTTGCAAACCAGCAGCATAACAGATTGGCATAGCCGAACATCAACAAGTTGACCACTATAACTCAAACGAAAATCCGTGATCCAAACAAATGTCATAGCCGAAGAAAACTATGACCATATCATTGAAAGTTTGAATGAAAAAGAGATAGATTTAGGCACGAGGAATCCAAACCTTGAAGGCAAGAAATTTTCCCCTCTTCTCCGTCGAGTCTCCGCAGACAGCGACGTTGCTCCCCGAATTCTCTCGCCCTGGCTTTCCCTACTCGTTCTCGCCCAAATATTGGCCCTATAGCCACCGATCTTTTCTCTCACCTCCGGCACCACTGTCACCCCGCAGTAGCGATCACCTCGTCTCGTCAACTCTCTCAGTCGCCGGCTACCCCAAAACCATCGACCACGCCAACCCCCAAGTCCTCGTTCATTCTATGCAACTGAATTCATCTCATCTCCTGAAATAAGAGACCATCACCTTTTTCTTTTTGTCCTGAAACTTTTTCTGCATTTTCGTAAGGACTTTCTTTTCATA